TACGTGTCTGCCCGCCACTCTGCCAACCACCTCTGCCAATCACCTCTGCCAACCGTCTTCCCTGGGTCCCCCTTCCAGGAGCTGTTCCCATTCCTCTGTGCCCTGCCCCCCATCCGTTCCCCCCACCTTCCCAATCCTCTGCTCTCATATCCCCTGGGCCGCCTCCTCAGCACCCTCCCCTCCTCCCCTCCCTTCCTTCCCCTCTCCCACCCGCTTTGAACTCTTCATCTCGTCTCCGTTTTTTGCTTTCACCCTCAGGAAAGGTCAGGTGGGTGGCACCTCTGCTGGTGCCCGGCATGACCCACACTGTCTTGTCTGGGTTTTGAGCCCTTCATCAGCCACTGCGGACTGCCTCAGGGTCCGGCTCCCTCAACCCTGGAGGCCCTGTGGCAGCCAGATCTCCAAGGCTCTAGTGCCACCTATGGGCCCTGGTGGAGAACACCCAACAGGCCCGGCTGCCTCCCTTGGCTCCAGTCCCCAGGCCGGGTCCACCCACCTCTGGGACTTGGGTCACCTGGGAAACCATTTTCCCCTTTTCTCCCTTGAATATGGGCCCAGGGCACGTTGTGACACCAACTGTAACCTCCCGGTCACATCAGGTAAGACCCAGCCAGGTAACAGCCCCAAGAGGAGGGCATAGGGCCACCTGCCTATGTCAGCTCCACAGGCCCCGGGGGCCACATGCTGAGATGGCAGTCACCGGCGGCACCTGGGTGCCAGGGCCGGGCCGGGCCCCTGAGGGAGGGCGTGTGCGGAGACTCCCTGGGCAGGCCAGCCGCTGGGTCCGGTGACAACGGGAATAATCCACAGGACAGGTGAGTGGGGACAGTGTGACTAGGAGTCCGAGGCAGAGGGACCTACCTGTGGGAGCAGGGCCAGGCCGTCTCCCCGGGGACCCTGAGGGGCTCTAATGACAGCTCCCCCCCGGGCGGCCAGGGCCAGCCTGAACATGGAGACTCCCCCAGCCAAGAGGGAGAGGCCTTTCTCCATGTCTCCTGGTCACACGGAGAGAGGACTTCGTAAAGGGACAGAATCCCAAACTTGGAAATAATTTTAAAAAACACAGAAAGCGATTCCTTCCTCCCAGACTTTTGTAGGCACCAGCAGGCCTCCTCTCAGCCCTGGAAACGGGAAAATCCCGGCTCCCAGCCACAGTGACAGGCTCCCTGGCGGTGCCCCACGAGCGGGGCAGAGCGCTGCCCAGCATCCCCGGGGGCTCATTTCCCAGAGCCCCAATCTCTGGACCCTCAGACAAGAGAGGCCTTTGAAACCAGCCACGCTTCCTGCCCTCAGGGCTGTCCCAGCATCACACCCTGCCTGCCGCCTGGGGGAGGAGCTACAGGGAGGAAGGAGAGGCAGAGGCAGGTCGGGATTAGGATTTACTCCTAGAGTGGCTGGAGTGTCATTCGCCCCGTACTGAGGGCCCCGGGCGCATTTACAACGATCTGAACACAGACTGAACCAGCGCTGTGTGCTGGGAACTAGGAACCGCCACCGGTGACACTAAAAGGGGATCATTAAGCAAGAGAAAGGAGAGCCGCACGAGCACTCGGAGCTGTTACCAAGAGCCCGGCCTGACGCCGCAGCGTCCTCTCCCGCAGGGACGCCAGCGTCCGGGGGACACGTGGCTGGGCAGGGACCTCTCCGCCACCGGCAGGAAGGCTGCTCACAGGAGTGAGGGCCCTGGGGCCTGTACTCCCTCTTGTGTGGCATGTGCGATATACCCCATTGCCCAGCTCTCAAGGAATAAAAGAGGGTGCGTGTGTAAGTGCACACACAACCGCGTCTCTGTCCCCTTCCCTCTTGCAGCATCCACGCTCAGTGAGCACCTGCTATGGACCCGGTGCTGCCTCTGGATGGGCAGGGGTGAAGGGCCTGGTCCCCCCTGAAGAGATTGCATCTCTGTTTGCCTCGTGCCATTTCCGTCCGCTTGCACAGAACTCCCCACTCCCTAGCCTGGACGTCCCGCACACCTGAGGGTCAAGGCCCTCGCTTCAGTGGTTTTAAGAGAAAAGAGAGTTTCTGTGTACGTGTTCACGAGGAACTGGAAAGAGATACCCAGTGACAGAATTCAGCTAATTAGGATGAGGGCTGTCATTTCAATATTGACAGTGTTTTTTTAACTCAGACACATTTCAAACACTTCAAACGCTGAGAAAAGTGGCAATTAAGGGGAGTCTTGAATCCAAAACGCTAACAGAACCTTCTCAAAGGCTTAAGCACCATAGAATCTTCCTTGGGAGGGGGATGAGGGCGTCAGAAAAGAAATGTCCTGGCATTTTTAGGTGCTGTTGCCCTTTAAGGCCTTAAAGAAGAATCGCTATGACCACGATCCCTACTGAGCACTCATTCATCTCGTGTGTGAAAGTCCTGGGCCTGCTCTTCGCGACAAACAATAAGCCCTTTAGAGGTTTCTGGGAAATGAGTATAAATTACAAGAAATGCAGTAGCAATTATGAAAATTCAATATGCTAGCTGTGCAGGAAATTTAAAGAGCCAAGACAAACAGAACTAGGAGGGAAGGTGTAAATTATGTCTGTGCGCACGCATTACCTGGCGTGATTTGTGGGCCAGGCTCACATTTTTATGACTTTTCTTCCGTAAATAAAACCCGCAGAGTAATCACTAAAACTTGTATTTACAACCAAAGCTACACTGGAACAACTGTCAGCAGTGACAGCCTGGATCTCCATGAACGGCACCTCGCGGACTTAGTGACCGAGAGTCACCGACTGACGGAGAAATCAAGGCGCAACGTGGAACCACCTGCCCTCCTGCCCTAACCCCCCCCCCCCCACCGCGTCACGTGCCATGTAAATACTTTGAGGGACATTCCTGGAAACCTAGCTTTCACACACACCCCTCCCTTTAGTTTTCCCAAAGAAAAGAGCTGTTTTAGCCCCGTTTGGAATGCGCATGCTTGCCGAGGGCAGGACTGCAATACACCAGGACTGCTGACATCTCGGTCAGATAATTCTTTGTTGCAGGAAGCTGTGCTGTGCGTCGTAGAAGACTCGGCAGCATCCCTGGCCTCTACCCACCAAATTCCAGCAGGACCCCGCCCCGCACGCTGTACCAACCAAAATACCCAGACGCTGACAAATGCAACGTGCCCGCAGTGAGCAACATGGCCCCGAGCTGAGAGTTGCTGTTCTAAGATCTATCACCAGAGGATGATGGCTTCCATGCAGGCTCCGCTAAAGCCACATTTTAAGATGCACCATCCAGTCCGTTTCAGTTCAAAAGACAAAATAGCCCCCCAAGTGGATTACAGCTATAGCTTTCCTATTGAATTTCTCTTTATGTCGTGTATCGATGTTTGAAGAGCGATCTGTGTTCTCAGTTTCATTTCGTTGGGCTCACTCCGGGCATGAGATTAGATTCCAAGGTGGGCCTGGAATTTATAAGGTGGTGCGAACAGAGAACGAGCGCTTGACTCACAGGGTCAGGGCTCCCCAGGAACCAACGACATTCCCAACCAAGGGTCGCTTCTGCCCCCAGTGGACAGTAATAAATGGGGCTGATAGTTTTAGATCCCCAAACACCTTCCCATGTCCTCTGTCCTGGAGGTTTCTCACGAAGAAAAGAAACGAGGGTAAGTTAGGAACCGAGGACAGGAGGAAGGGA